CGCGGCCCGTCTGCCCGCCGCGCGGCCTTGGGGAGCCGCGCGCACCCCCCTCACGTCCGTCGAGGCGCCCTGGGGAGCCGCGCGCGCCCCTCCGCCCGTCCGTCTTCGCGCCCTGGGTAGGAGCGCGCGGCCCCTCCTGTCCCGTCCCCCCCCCCCCCGTGCTGCCCATTTCTCCCGTGCCGCCGTGCGTTCCGCGGTGGTGGGGGGTGTGGGGTGGCAAGCATGGGGGTGCGCGGTGTGGGTGTTCCCCTCCTCCTTGTTCGTCTCCCACTGCTGTAGCTGCTGCTGAGGGGGGTGGAGGTGTGGGAGCCGCGGGGAGTGGAGTTGTGGGGGTGACGTGGGATTGGAGCTAGGGGTGCAGTAGGAGGTGTGTGGAAAGGAGGTGGGACTGTTTGGGGAGGCTGAGAGGAGGCCGCCGTCATGTCGTGCGCAACGCCTGTAGTCCGGAGCCGTCGCGCTCTCGGTAGCCCAGAGAGCCTTGCTGTGCCAGTCGCATGTGGGTCCATTGCTCCTGCCGTTCGTCGTAGCCGCGGAGCCAGATACTCCTGTAGTCCGGTGCCCTCGTGCGCTCGGTAGCCACTGTGCCAGTCCTCCTGTTGCCCGTGTGTCTGCAGCTTCAGCCGTCGTCTCCCATCTTCTCTCCCTTCACAATTCCTCCTCCTCACTTGCCCTCTGTAATCGCCTCTAGCTTTGCATATAATTGTGAACTATTACTATGCCTGCTCATTGTGCTGATTACACCCCACTTTGGCTATGGGGGTGTGTCAGAATATAATTATATAGCTTGTAGTGGGGTGCTCTATAGCGAGTAGAACCCAGTTAGGGTTTGATATATGTACCCCAACTGCTGCTAGTGAAACTCCTCTTTTGTCATTCTTCTTTTGCAACTTCTTGTTTCTGACAACGAGTCGTTTGGTCAGCTCCGGGCTGAAATCCTACGGTCGAGATTTTCCAGCCCTACTTTGATCACCCTTCTGGCACTGTTCGGCCCCAATATGATATTTTCCCAAGATTGTTTGGGAAAACACTGATGCGGCAGTTGCAGAAATCCGGTATTACGTTTACTCACCAACACCTGACGAAACCAGAATGTATTTTAAGAATGCTCACAAAAGTACTAGAGTCCTATTCGTTGATGACTATGGATCTCACAAGGCCACCAAGGATTTTGTTGAGATTGAGGGATTATACTTGATATTCCTGCACAAAACACGAAACAGGCATTACCAAATACAGAAACCAAGAGTCAAAATGAGCCCAAAAATTCGTAGACCGATGCTTGCAAAAACATTTGAAGGGTACCGGGAACAGGTTGAGAAGAAACGAGAATGGATCAACTATGAAAGAAGTGGGTACAAGTACTAACCCTAATTGGGTTGTACCCCCTATGGGACACCCCACTATAGCCTATACAAAATGTATAAGCTACAATGTTCTGACACACCCCCATAGGCAAAGTGGGGGAGAACAAGGGGTCACACAACCAGTCAAGCAAAGCAAAACAAAGCAAGCTCAGGGTGGATCACAAAGTCACCACACATTTCGAGCACAAGTTCATGGCCACAGGGCCAGTTCACATGCAGTAGTACATATATATAAAAGCTAGACAAGCAAGAGCAGGTATAGATATATGTCACAGTACAAGCAAGGTCAAGAGGTGAGCAAGTGAGGCAAGACAGGCACAAGACCCAGCTGCGTGCAGAAGCGCTGATGATCACAAGGTGCAAGTGCCTTGGTGAAGACATCAGCAGTGTTGGCCTCAGAGGCCACGTACGCAAGCCGCAACTGACCACGCTCCTGTAGCTCACGAGCAAGGAAGTAGCGGAGAGCAATGTGCTTTGTTCTGTGCTCCAATCTCTGCTCTCGACACAAGGCTAGCATGGCCTTGTTGTCTACGTACAGGACTGGAGGAGAACGAGGCGGCTCTCCAAGGTCGGTCAGCAGGTAGGTGAGCCAGCGAAGCTCCTGTGCAGCCATGGCCCTTGTGTAGATCTCAGCCTCACAACTGGAGCCGAGAACAGAAGACGAGCGAGTAGCCCGCCACGAAACAGAGCCGGAACCAGGCTGAAGGTGTAACCCTGTGACGATCGCTGCGTAGCCTGGTCGTCAGCCCAAGAAGCGTCTGCGTGCCCAGTGAGGACTACTGGACTCCACCCTCCAAGCACTAGCCCCATGCCCGACGTACTGCACAAGTAGCGCAACACCCTCTTCGCTGCAGCCATGTGCTCTGTTCGGTGTCTCCCAGGAGCAACATAGCGTGCGAGAATGCTAAGAGGGTATGCAAGGTCAGGTCGTGTGCAGGTCATCAGGTACATGAGGCAGCCAACAAGCTCTAGGTACGGGCCACTCGACTCTACGGACTCATCCAAAGGCAGAGCTGAGAGCGAGTGGCGAGTAGGCAGAGGAGTGGCCTGAGGCGAGGAGTACGTGAAGCCGAAGCGCTTAAGGACCTGCTGCACCATGTGTGACTGAGTCAGGGTAATGGTGCGGCGTGCTCTGTCCCGGGTGATCTGCAAGCCAAGGTAGCTGCGCAGTTCACCCAGGTTTGTGCACGTGTGTCTCTTTTGCTGCTCGGACTTCACGTAGGCCAGTCCAGCAGTGTCAGCTGTGGCAAAGACCAAGTCGTCGACGTACACGAGGATGTAGAACGGCGGCAGAGAAGTGTCGGTGCGTAGAAACAGCGACGGGTCGGCAGAAGAGGGAGCAAACCCAAGAGCCGCAAGTGTAGACCTCAGTGTGTCGTGCCACTCACGCGGTGCCTGGCGGAGACCGTAGACTGGCCGTCGGAGGCTCCACTGGGTGCCAGGAGGAAAAGTCCCAGTGAAGCCAAGTGGGCGGCGCAACCAGATCTCCTCGTGCAGGCTGCCCTGCAGGATAGCAGTGTTGAAGTGAAGAGAGTGTAGCTCGTAGTCACGGTGAGCAGCTACGTGCAGCAGTACCCGAAGAGTGGTCATCTTCGGGGTGGGAGAGAAGTTATGAAAGTAGTCAACTCCCTGCCGGTGACTGAAGCCACGAGCCATGTAACGCGCCTTGAAGACAGGCGGAGAACCTGGCGGCCGCTTCACCCTGAAAATCCACATGCCACTGACGATGTTCGCCCCAGGAGGGGGAACTGCGTCAACGTAGGTGCCTGTAGACTTCCAGGAAGCCATCTCTGCATCCATAGCTGCCTGCCACTGAGAAGAGTAGGGACCCTCTATCGCCTCCGCGTAAGAGCGCGGAATCGGGATGTCAAGTGCATCCGGGTCTCCCTCAGGGGTAAGCAGCACGGACACGAGATGAGGTGAAGCAGCTGCCAAGCACTGGAACTCCTCCTGCATGTCCTCAAGGACGTCCGTGCCAAGGGCACACTCACCCCCGACGGAAGGAGGAGAGACAGACTCAGATTCTGCAACAAGTCTGGCGGCGTAGTATAGGCGACAGCGAGCAGCAAAGTCGATGAGCTCAGCAACTAGGGCAGACGCAGCAGTGGACTCAAAGGAAGGGTCAGTGACAACAGTAGCAAGGAGACGCGTGACAGTAGGGCTGGCAGCACGAAGAGAGTCCGACTCCGGGTCGGAAAGAGCAGGAAGAGAAGACTCAGGAGGAGAAGGTAAAGGGGCACGCAGAGGAGCAGTGGACGGACGCAGAGACATCCGGTGCGTGCCAGGGACAGGAGGAGGACGCTGACGCGAACCGCAACCACTAGTGCGAGCAGCACGGACAGGGGACGCAGGGCCAGACGCAGGCTCACGACGCTCAGCAAGACCTCCAGTAGGACCAGTGTAAGGAGAAGGAGCAGGCAAAGGAGAGGCCGGCTGGAGCTGTAACTGGGACGGGAGAGGCTGTGGACACTCTAAGGGAGGAGGAGGAGGACCTAGAAGGCGGCAGACCAAGAACCTGCTGAAGGAGCGGAACGAAGTACGGCCGAGGCCGCGCGGTGACTCCAGACACAGCAGGGATAGCACCAGTACCCCCAGCGGCAGCACCAGCACCACCAGCACCTCCAGCTCTAGTACCTCCAGCAGCACCAGTAGCACCCGCAGCAGGGCCGCCTCCAGGACCGACAGCAGAAGCCTCCGCACCAACACCCGCAGCAGCTCCAGCTCGAGAAGTACCCGCAGGCCCAACAGCTCCTGTACTCCCAATACGAGCACCTCCGGGACTCGCGGCACAAGCACCCTCAGCAGCAGCAGAAACTCCAGTACCCGCAACACCTCCAGCTCCAGCAGCTCGCCTCCAGCGCCGAGCAAACCACTCTTGCAGCTCCTGTGGAGAGAGTGGTTCCCGCCGAGACAAAGCACTTGGAGAACCGCCAGACACAGCACCAGTAGGCTCAGCTCCCTCAGGCTCCGCACCCCCTGGCTAAGCACCTCCAGGCGTAGCACTCCCAGGCTCAGCACCCCTAGGCGCAGCACCCCCAGACTCAGCACCCCCAGACTCATCACCCCCAGGCTCAGCACCCCCAGACTCAGCACCCCAGGCTCTGCACCCCCAGACTCAGCACCCCCTGACTCATCACCCCCAGGCTCGGCTCAGCACCCCCAGACCCAGCACCCCCAGGCTCAGTCCCCGCAGTAGCACCCTCCCCGGCACCAGAGTCACCAGTGACCTCGATAGGCTCAAGTGCGTCTACATGGGACACACCTTAAGGGACGGACCCTGAGGGGGAGGGGGTCTACCAGGGGGGGACCTGGGACAAGGAAGAGCGGCGGTGGGGGGAGGGACGGAGTGCGGTAGGGGAAGAGGCGGTATTAGGGGACCGACTCGTCAAACATGACGTCCACGGAGGACAGAACACGGCGAGAGGTGGGGTGGTAGAACTGCCACCCTGGCGCGTCAGGGGGGAAACCCTGGAAGACGCAAGGAGCAGCACGAGGGGACAGCTTGTCCGTAGACAAGTCGCGGACAAACGTCCGAGATCCCCAGACACGGAACGCAGACGCATCGCCAACCTTCCCCGTCCACAGCAAGGCTGGGGAGGTCTCTGGCCTGGAGACCCTGGGGTGAAGGTTGATCTCATGCGCCACGTACTGAACCGCAAACGGCCACAGAAAATGGGGGCAGCCGCATGCATCATGGACGTACGAGCGGCGTCCATGACCATGCCAATGCGGCGCCCAGCAATCCCATTTTGCTGTGGAGAGTCCGGAAGCGTGAAGGTCTGGCGGATGCCTCGTGCACGACAGTAAGCTCGCAGAAGGCCAGAGGAGAACTCTCCGCCTTTGTCAGTGTGACGTAGACGCAGAACAGGAAAGTCCGAGCCGAAGCTCTGCCTGAGCTGGAGACGAGCCGCGCGGATCTAGTCGATCAGCACCTCAGTGACCTCACCCTTGCTGCGCAAGGGGAAGACTGTGGTGTAGCGCGAGTAGTCGTCAACCACCAACAGGAAGTAGCGCTCGTGACTCAGTCCACGGACGCGGGCGGGCGAGGCCCACACATCCAGGTGAAGCGTCTGCAGCGGGGCCTCTGTTGGAGGAAACTGGGAGGAGTGAGGGGCAGCGCGCTGCCGCCCCTTGACACAGGGGACGCAGGTAGGGCCAGGCCTCGGAGGAAGAGGAGGGAGGGACCGGGGAAGACCAGAGACAAGGAGACGAGAGGCCATGCCTCGGAGAGGAAGCAGGGAAGGGTGACCAAGGCGGTGGTGCCAGAGAAGAGTCTCGTGAGACAGGCGGCGACACGAGCAGGGGGCGGACTCAGGACCAGACCTGGACGCTGCAGCAAACACCTGACCCGACGCAACTACCTGACTAGACGCAGGGACAGGAGGAGACGCAGTGGTCAGTGTGTACAGGCTCGACCCCGGCCGACGTGTAAAACGTGGCCAAGTGTTGGCCTGTCCGAGCGTCTGTGCAGTGGGTCACCCGCTGGCTCGCAGGAGTGAACTGGTGAACTCCTCCATCCTGAAGGTCAGCGCCACTCACCAAGTTCGTAGAGAACGAGGGGAGGTAAAGACCAGACAGGGTGCCAGAGAGAGCCGCCGGGACACGGGAGGACAGTGGAGAAGTGAGCAAGGACAGGACCCCCAGAGGGGTCTGCCAGAGAGACCGCAACTGGCCGACCAAGCGGCGTGAGTGTGGTGCGGTCTCGAAAGAAGGAGCGAGACGCCCCCGAGTCAAGGGTGAAGGTGAGGGAGGCCAAAGCCGACTCGGTACCTTAGAGCGCGGACTCACCAGCACCTGAGGAAGCAGACTCACGAGCACCTAGAGCAGCAGCCTCGCTAGCACCTAGAGCAGCAGCCTTACCAGTACCTAGAGCAGCAGTCTCAATGCCGGGTCGGGGCGGGAAACACCGGTAACAGTCACCCTCATCACTAATAGTCACAGCATACATGGCAGCAAGGATAGCATCAAAGTCAAGATCAAAGATAGCAACCCCCGCCCTAAACAGCTCACCCAGCGGGGGATCTCAGTGGCCTCCGGGAACTGGTGACGCGAGGCGTCCGTCAGGCGACCAAAGCAGCGCTGGGTGGAGTGCGCACCCCCACATTGCTCACCCGCGCGGTCGCCGCGGTGCGCAGGACGTAGGTGCACGGACCAGTACCCCCACCCCGCTGGCGAGCAGCGTACCACTCACGGAGCTGCTGAGGGGAGGGGGTGTCACGAGCGCGCTACTGTTGGCGCTGACCACTACCGGAGCCGACCCTCTGTGCAGTGTCACCCCTACCAGCTCCACCTCCTCCGCCACCGCCTCCTCCACCGCCGCCACCTCCGCCACCTCCGCTCCACCGCCACCGCCGCCGCCGCCTCCGCCTCCACTGCCGCCACCGATACCTCCACCCCTACCTCCACCCCCACCGCCACCCCCTCTCCCCCCGCCGCCTCCACCTCCACCTCCACCGCCCCCGCTAGCTCCTCCAGCGCCCCTGCCCCCCTTGCCCTTGCCAGAGCGACGTCTCCCGCTAGGGGTAGACGCCGCACCGACCACAACTCAAGCCCAAGGAGGTCGGCCGCAGCAGCAGAGGCAACAGAGGGGAGAGGGGGGAGGGGGAAAACCCCTCAAAGATGGGGGTGCGAGGGTCACCACGAGAGGCTCCTACAGCGACTATGCTCTTCTCCGCTGCTAGGAGGGCCTTCTTGAGGAGGTCAACAGTGAGAGTGGTGGGATAGTTTGTGAGGAAGTCGTCCCTGACTACGCGAAGGGAGTCAGGGAGGCGAGTGACTATGTAGTAGAGAGTGATGTATATGGGGGGGGGGGTTCTTGGTGCATAACTCAGCAAGAAGCGCAGCGCGCGGTAGCGAGTGTCACTAGTGCGGAGGTGCGTAATGAGGTCAGCGACTGTGGGAAAGGCAGCAAGGTCAGGAAAGAGGTATGGTAGCATGAGGCGGCTCAGTGCAGCAATGGCAGGGGAGGAGTAGCGTGCATCTACAGCGTCGTACAAGGTCTGAGCACTCTTGTACTGACTAAAGTGCGCACGCTCAGAGGTAGGGAGGTGGCAACGCACAGCAAGACGTGCAGCAGCATCGCGTGTGCCCACTGGGAGCGAACAGTGGCGTCAGCATCAGCAGCAGGGGCAGGAGAGGCACCAGAAGTGAGGTCAAAGAGGGAGAGACCGTCTGCCCTATCGCACTGTAAGAAAAGCTGCAGGTCATCTATCCAGACGTCATAGTCAATGGCCCGACCCTCAGCGTCAAAAGCGAGGACACTAGGGGTAGCCATGACAGCAGTAGACTAGCAGTGCAAACAGTAGGGTAAGGGCAGTGCAGTGACAGAGGCGCTGCTCTTACCGGACAGGGCTGCTCGGGCGGCTCGGCGGTGCAGGCGGCTCGGCTGTAGGGCGGCTCGGCGGCTCGGCTGCTGGGCGGCTCAGCCGCTGGGCGGCTCGGCGGCTCGACTGCTTGGTTGCTGGGCGGCTCGGCGGTTCGGCTGCAGGGCGGCGCGGCGGTCGGCTGGGTATGGCGGCTCGGGCAGCTCGGGTGGTGGGCGGCGCTGCAGCAGGCGACGGGGCCGCAGGTAAGGGCGGCGGGGCCACAGGTAGGGGCGGCGGGGCCGCAGGTAAGAGCGGCGGGGCCGCAGGTAAGGTGGCGGGGCCGCAAGTAAGGTGGGGGGCCGCAGGTAAGGTGGCGGGGCCGCAGGTAAGATGGCGGGGCCGCAGGTAAGGGCGGCGGGGCCGCAGGTAAGGGCGGTGGGGCCGCAGGTAAGGTGGCGGGGCCGCAGGTAAGGGCGGCGGGCCGCAGGTAAGGGCGGCAAGGCCGCAGGTAAGGGCGGCGGGGTCGCAGGTAGGTGGCGCACCCGCAGGTAGGTGGCAGGGCCGCGGGTGAGGGCGGCGCGAGGGGCGCAGAGGTCGGTGGCGTGCCGCAAGGGCGGCACGCGAAGCTGCAAAGGGCGGCGACGGGCCGTTACGGGCGGCTCAAGGGCGGCGACGGGCCGCGTAAGGGCGGCGACGGGCCGCGAAGGGCGGCGACGGGCCGAGTAGGGCGGCGACGGGCCGCGTAAGGCGGCGACGGGCCGAGTAAGGGTGGCGACGGGCCGCGTAAGGGCGGCGCGAGGGAGGCCGCTAGGGGCGACGCGACGGGGCCAAAGGAGGCCTAGGGAGGGTGCGACGGTAGAAGGGGCACACGAGGCGCGACTCAGGCCTAAGCGGAGCGCGCTACGGGCAGGAAAAAGAAAAGTTCGTAGCGGTGGGCCCTAGGAATCGTTCCTGTTAGGGAAACTGCTCGATACCATGAGAAGAAACGAGAATGGATCTATGAAGGAAGTGGGTACAAGTACTAACCCTAATTGGGTTGTACCCCTATGGGATACCCACTATAGCCTACACAAAATGTATAAGCTACAATGTTCTGACACAGGTTTGAAAGGGGTTCCTGCACCGCACTGTTGGGATGTCGCTGCACTAACCCTCAAAGTATACGGCGATATGACTTTTCGAATTCCTCACAAATCACCTATAAATTCATACCGTATACCGTTACGTGAGCGTCATAATCACTAAATAAAAACTACATTCACTCTCACAGGCGCCACTAATAATTTCCACTTTGCATCACCCTGTGATTATAACATGGTATCAAAGCAACGCATGAATTTCTTCGCACCCCCACTTACAGAAGTTTTCACGAACTGAAAATGGCGACCGAGACACATGCCCGCGTCAAGATGGCCAAAGGATCGGAAGGCCAAACAATTCTAAAGGTTGAAAAACAGCCAATCGTGCTGCAAATTCAGCGGCGAAGACCACGATAAGCGCATTGGAGCGACTATCAACTTTGGAGCAAGGACTCCAAACTTTGCGAAGTGGTGAAGCGGGAACCTCTCCCAACCTGCACAACCAGTCACAACTGATCACGAACCGCCCTACAAACCTTCTCACTAAACAAGAATGTATCACCACAAAAAGCCCCCTCCGTGCAAGTGATGACGTAATTTTCTAAGCGAGTACAAGTTCCCCAACATCTCCAAAATACGCACAAGCAACATGTTTGATAGAAAGGATTCTACACTTGGAGCTTTGAGCTGGAGATACTGCTACAGAATGCACCGATCTATCACTACTTCGACAAAAGCTACACATGACCCGCGACAGACACCGACGACGCCAGAGCACAGCGCTACAACGAGTCGCTCATGGCGTAGAGGGTACTCTTATGAAAACATGTCGCCAACGGTGCAACTCGGCATCCGCTCATTCAAGATGAAGTTGCCTCCGACAGTGGAGGTTTGGAAGTATCTCATTTTTAATGGAAGATGAGTGTTGGCCCCACCCTCGCTTGGGCAACGCGGACGACTTGGTCGGATGTACGGGAGAAGCAACGGACCCCCGTTCACAGTGGGAGAGCTGCTCGACGGACTTCGTCGAGCTGCAAGGGACCGTTGTGGTTTGTTGCTGTTCGACAAGGGAGCTCGACAGCTGTAGCTGACTAGGCTGAGCGACGGGTGGGCCGTCGACCAGTAGGAGCAGTTCGACCGGGAGGTCCA